CACAAACAGGGCCAGGCCCTAAACCCTGATGAGAACAGAGGAGCCCTCTCCCGTCTCTGCTGTACAGGGGCTAGAACCCAGCTTGGCACTCCAAGCTGGTGACAGGTGGGACCAAAGAAGGCAAAAGGAACCCAATATAAGCCCTGTCACTTGCCCTCCCCCGACTCAGGAGCACTCTGCCATCTCTTCCTTATCAATCCCCAGCAGTTTTTACAGGGCACCGAGAAGGCCTGCCCTCCCACCCAATCCCTCACTGACCTGACATGTGCCCTTGGAGGGCAGCCTTCCTGCTGCCAGACTCCAGGCCTTTATCCCCTGACACTGATGGCAAGTGAGTGACTAAATTGGCCAAAAATAAAAGTCCTATAAATCTGATATTTTGCTTTAAGCTGTCGGGTACACAGAGTGCGCTGGGATTATTGATAGAAAAGTTTATGGATGGGCTGCATCTTAAAATCAAAATACATTACCCAAAATCAATGTTGCTGTACGTGGTACAGGGAGGACGGGAAAGGTCAGCCGAGACAAGAATATCGAAACCCCAACTCCAAGAGGACCTGAGCATTAAAATAAATAAATTTTGAAAGTGAGTTCCAAGGAACGACATCTTCACTTAGGGCTGTAATTTAAGGGCGCTTTCACAAGTGACTGGGCAGGCTTTTTCTAAATAGTGCTATTTGAGGTACCTCTGAGAGCCCTGCGAAACCGTCCACAAAATGATATTGACAAGCGCCACGCATCCCAACTCCAAGCCCAACAAGAGCAGTGGGTGATGGCAGGAAAGTGACAGGGCACTGAGACTGGGCACATGGAAACCAGGGCATGACAGGAGCAAGCCCAAACCTGGGCCAGATAAACTAATACCCCACTGGTCACATTACAGGAGTATTCACTACCAGGTCCCTTTACACAGTGATCCCACAGGCATTTCAGAGCTGTGCTTGGAGGGAGAGAAGGAGGATAAATGCTTGTCACCACCCACTGATGAGCAATCAGGTCTGGAAACAGGATAGTTGTGAACTGTGCTCACAAGTGTATCAGCAGAAAACCCGCTTCACTTCTGGAAAGCAAGATTCACTCTAAACAGGGTATCTCTGTGGGAGTCCAAAGGACATTTGCAGTTGGTAGGGCTGAATAGCTCTGTCCCCAGAGAGAAGCATCCCTTTGGGAGAAGCAACACTCCACCACAGACACCTTCTAGAACCTCCACCTGAGAGACCACCAGGATGTGTGAAGAGGGAGCCAGCTCCTCCCAGGGAGTGGGTGGCCAGGCACCGGCAAGGTCCAATGGGAACCACGGCCTGGTTTCAGCTTCCTGATCCTCCAACTGGCGAAAGGACTGAGTCAAAATCCCTGCCCTGCCCACAGGAAACCCTAGCAAAAGGGGATAAAGTGCCCCTTCCCCAACACCCCTAACAGTACTCCTAGTTTAAACATTTACTGGGTCTAAAGATGGATCAGACTCAGACAGGAGTTAAGGACACAGAGAAGAAGATCCAACAGCTGCCTGCACAGGTTACAAGAGGGGACAAAAGAGCAAACAGCCCCTTTCCATACAGCTGAATGGTCAGGGAAGAGACTGCAAGGCTCTATCAGGATGCCCCTGACTGCCCTCAGTCCAAGGCAGGAAGCCTGCTCTCTTCACCAACTCCAGGTATGAGGACCAGAGCCCTACCTGCAGTAGGGAAGAGCTGGGTGTTTTTGGTTAAGAACAAGGAGCTCAGAGTAAAACAGACCTGGGTGGAAGTCTCACTTGGCCCTTACTAGTTGTGTGAACTCAGGGAATTTTCATAAGCTCTCTGAGCTTCAGCCGCATCACCCATAAAATTAGGTGAAATCACAATGTCTCCCCTATAGGGTTGTTACTGGGATAAAATGACAACCCCATTCATGCACTCCACAAGTATTTACTGAGCATCTATTCTGTGCCAGGCCCTGTTGTAGGGGTTTGGAGATGCATCAGGGAACCTTGAACAAGAAACACAATGAATGTACAATACTTTGGAAGGTGAAGAGGGAGATGTGGGTGAGAAGTTAGGACTGCTGGGCAGGGAGCTGCAGATTGCAATATTAAATATGTAGCCCAGGTGGGGCCTCATTGAGAAGGTGACTTTCTGAAAAAAAAAAAAAAACAGAACATAATGGGGTTAGCCAAGCAGGTGGTTGGAGGAGGGGCATCCAAGCCAGATGGTATAGCTGGTGCAAAGACCCTGGGGTGGGAGCATACCCAGTATATTGCATTACAGAAAGGAAGACAATGTGGTGAGAGAAGTGTGAACCAGAGAGAGGATAGAAAACACAAAGAGGTGAAGGCAGAGGAGAAAGCAGGGATCGGAAAGGTGAATCACTTGACCTTGTCAAGCCACTGGTATTTATGCCAAGTGAAATAGGAACCACTGAAGGGTTTTGAGCATGGGAAAGTAATGTGATTTCTGTTTGAGAAGGATATCAGTTGTCCTGTTGAGAACCGAAGCGTGGAAAGTGAGTAGCCAGTTGTCTGTTACATGAAAACCATGTGATAATATATGGCTCTTACTCTTACTAATAAAAATAACCCCGTCATGCCATGGGCAAGAAACAACTTACCCCACAAGGTGATACAGACATAGAAGATCCACAAACCCTAAAGGTAATCAAGACGTGACTCCCTCTAGCTGCAGGAATTCTCCCCTTGCACATCCCTGATCACTGGTCATCAGTCCTTGCCTGGAGGGGTCCTGCTTGGATCTGAAGAGGAGACTGCTGCTCCTTCAGGCAAGCCACCGCACTGTGGGCTAGCTCTTGCCATGGGAATCCTGTTTGTAATTAGTCCCCAAATGAAATCTGCTTTCCTAGAATTCCACTATGGTCCTGAATCTGTGTGGCACAGTGCAAGTCTGCCCCCTCCCTTCAGAAGCTGAGGACAGCAATGGGCCCTGCAGGGTCTAACATTCATCAATCCATAGTGGTTTCTAGGGGCAAATGGAATTTCCAAGGGAAAGCTGGTAAGTGGCACAGTGACAGAAGGAGCTAGCAACTGCATCTTTGGAGACCCTAGGAGGGACTTTGGTAACCAAGGCCTTAATAGATGAGCAACAGTGACCCGGGGTATAGAAATGACTCATAGATGAGGAAACTGAAACCCAGGCCCAGAAAGGAGGCAGGGCGGTGCCCAGGGGCACCCCTCTGGCAAGGACAAGGCTTAGAAAGAGCGCCCCTGGCAGCCAGGACCAGGGTGGCTGCTGGAAAGTATTTTCCCTCTGGTTTCCTTCTCCTTGGCTCTCTGGGAACCCTCTGGCGGTGCCTCCCGGAGGCTAGTGAGTAGGAAAAGCAGATACAGAATCCACTAGGTTGCTGCACCCCAACCTCGGGTCAGGGCTGCAGGACAGGGCTGAGGCATTGACACAGAAACTGAAATCCACTGGCTGGGGACTCCCAAGAGGAAGGAGAATAGACCCATAGACCCGGGACTATGTACCCGGTCCCAACCATATGTCAGCCCTATATTTCCTTTCGGGGACCAGACCGCACTCCCTCAGATGTCTGAGGAGATGGCAGGCTCGGATGAAGTCTGGGGGAGACCGGGATGCAGGGGCTGCAAGAGCGGGGGATGGGCCCCCGGATAGCGGCTGTGGACTCGACCTCTGCCTCCCGTCGCCCGGATCTCCCTTTGCACTGAGTAAAGAGGGGGTAACCGCTGGCTAGGAACGTGCGGGTACGCAGGGACCGGCTATCGAGGGACAAGAACCCCGCCCCCGCCCAGAAACCTCCCGAGCCCTGAGTCGTGCCCGGCGCTCCCTACCCCACCCCACCCCCGCCGCCTCTGCCGTCACTCACGGCCGCTGCTTGCTGGCTCGCTGGTGCGCTCTCCGCGCCACAGGCACCTGCTCGCCGGGCGCTGTGCGCTCACTCTCGCTCACACACTGCAGACTCTCGGCGTCGCCGCCGTCACCCGGCCTCATCCCCTGTCCGGCACAGCGCTCCGCCCTTCTCCCAGGCCCCCGGCGCCCACCCACCCGCCATGTCCCGGGCCTGGGCCAAAGAGTGGTGCAGCTCATTGCCCAAACTGGGGTAAGGAGTTGAGGCCTGGGGGCTGCAGAAAGGGCCGAGGGACACATAGGAAACAGGGATGAGCGACCGTCTCGAGGGATGGAGACTGGGAAGAAACCTGGGAGAGTTTGGGTGGGAGGACCCCCAAGCAAAGCGGGTGTGGGGCGGGGCTGCGCTCCAACCTGAGAGATGGTGGTCCCTCTGAGCGACCCCCGAAGAGGGAGAGGGTGCGCTCCAGGGCGGGGGTGGGGGGCAGTGTGAGCTGTGGCAGAGGAGGGGAGGGCGGGGTGATGCAGCGGTGGAGGCGGCTCCGGCTCGGCGCCCAGCCACTGACCGCCCCCTCCCTGTCCTCCCCTCCCCCCTCTCCCCGCCTCTCTCCGGCTCCGGGTCCGCCACGCCGGACCCGCTCTCCTCGCGCGGCGCTGGGTCGGACGCCAGGTCTGCGCGCCACGGCTGAGCGCCCACTCGCCTTGCGGAGAGAGTCGCGGAGAAACCAGCGGGGGCGGCGGCGGGAGAAGTGGGCGAGGGCTGGAGGAGGTGGCAGTCGGAGCTGAACCAGGAGACCCGGAGGCAGAAGCTCTCGGCTCTGAGGCGCGCACTCCCTTGGCCAGGGATGGGTACTGGCGCAGCCCGGCCCCTGCCCGGCCAGCCGGGCAGAGACTGAGTCGCACATCCCCATCATCCTGTGGACCTCCGACAGAGAGAAACACTGACAGATCGCCAGTAGCCTTCCGGCGGCGGGACCTCACCTCCTGCCCACCCCGCGCAGCGCCCCCAGCCGCAGCAGCGCTGGGCAAGCCGGCAAGGGAGAGGGGCTGATTGGCGGCCGCCGGCGGCCAGGGGAGGGAGCGCCGTGCGGGGCCATGGCAGGCTCCGAGGCGTCCTAGCCCAAGCCGGAGCCGAGCTCACGCTGCTGCTACCGCTGCCTCTCCGCGCCCGGGCCCCCGCCGCCGCCGCGCCCCCTGCGGGAGATGGAACAGCGGAACCGGCTCGGTGCCCTCGGATACCTGCCGCCTTTGCTGCTGCACGCCCTGCTGCTCTTCGTGGCCAACGGTGAGCGCGGGAACTTCGCTGCCGCGGTGGGCTCGGGGAATTCTTTGCTGGGTCCACCGGAGCCAGCCTTCCCCGGCTGCCATGAAGGAGAAAGAGGAAGAAAAGGGGAAGCATTCACGGTCTCCAGTAATCCCTGTGTGCAGTCCGGGCCCGGAGGGGTAGGGGGAGGAAAGCAGCGAAGGGTCGCGGCAGCCGCGGCGTCCGCGCGGGAGTCGTTCCGAGTCCGGCCGGGATCCGGCTACTGAGAGGAGGCCTGCGGGGAGCGAGAGTTAACGCACCCAGCCTGGCTCTGATGGTGCGGCCCAGAGCTGGCGAGAAGCGTGAACCGCCCCTGCTGTCCCACTGGATCTGGAGCGAAGCAGCCTGCGGCCGGCGGCCAGTCCCTGCTGCCGCCCTGCAGCTGCTGGACTGAACTTTGCTAGCGCCTCCGGCCGTGGGCCACGAAGTAACTGGGGGGGTGGGGAGCCCAAGGCCAGTGAGCGAGCGGGGGAACCTACCGCCTCGCCTCGGGTTACCCCAAGCCCCCGCCCTACAGCTGGTCACGCCTCTCTCTCCCCCGCCCCCAGCTACATTCACCGAAGTCCCCAAAGATGTGACAGTACGGGAGGGAGACGACATCGAAATGCCCTGCGCGTTCCGGGCCAGCGGAGCCACATCGTATTCGCTGGAAATTCAGTGGTGGTATCTCAAAGAGCCTCCCCGGGAGCTGCTACACGAGCTAGCGCTGAGCGTGCCAGGCTCCCGGAGCAAGGTACCCCGCCGCCCACGCGTCAATGGAGCTCCTGGGTCTCAGGGCTAGGGCAGTGAGAGTTAACCCCTGGAAGAAGGCAACAGGGTTCATGGACTCAGTGTGCCGCCCTGTCACGCAACCCATCTCCCACCCTTGGCATCCCACTGCATCTTCGAAGTCAACAGTAAACTCAAAACCCTATCAATTCTTTTGATAATTTCCCTTTTCCTGCAACCTCCTGGAATTCTATTCACTCCCGCCTGGTCCAGTTGGCCTGCTCTTCTTGATGAGGGTCGAGCATTTGATAGGTGCTGGCTGGTGAGGGAAGACCACTATGGTTCCACCAAGCTCTCCCTGCCCTCTGCCACTCCGAGGTCCCCAGGGCACAGAGCCAATGAGTTAAGCTCCTCCGGGCTGCGTTCCAGAGGCCAACAGAAAACCGTATTTGGGGAAGCCAGCAGGTCACCTCTGGAGCCTCCACAGGATCAGAGGGATTGCCTTCCTGTGGCTGCAAACCGACTCAGGCTGCCTCATAACCCACTCTCTCTTAAAAGCGCTTCAACACACACACACACACACACACACACACACACACTTTACACACATACACACACACCTTACACACATACCTACATTCTCCCCAGGTTCCCTCCCAAAGTTATTCATGTCTCTCACTGGGTCCTGTCCAGACAGCCCGGCCAACCCCTCCATTGAATTTTTCACGGTTCCAAATTAAGAGAGAAGGGAATGAGGATGCTCCGGAGGAGGGACATAGACCTTCCTAGCAATGCATTCTCCCCTCTTCAGCCGGCAGGTGTATGCTAGGACAGCCACTCCTTGACAGGCACCATGTTAGCTCTAAACCCAGCTTTCTTCCAGTCAAACTGCCGGAAATTCCGACGTCCTCCATGCCCTCAACCCCCGCCATACCCCAGGCAGTTTCGGTCGCAGCCTGAGCGTGGAAGGTCCCTCGGCCAAAGGCAGATCTGAGTTTCCCGAGCCTGCATGCCAACAGCCTAATGTGTCTCTCCCTTTGCATTTTAGGTAACAAATAAGGATGCAACTAAAATCAGCGTAAGTGTGGAGCCCAGCGTGGGCCGCGGGAGACCCCTTCTGGCCGCTTCGCGCCCCGCAGCTCCCTCCCCTTTAGAAAGTCTAGGCAGCCGCGCGGTGTACAACCGCACTCGCAGCTTTGCATTGTCGGCCGCTTGGCGTGTCTGGGCGCCATCTGTCGCTGGTAGCAGGATCGGTTCTCTTTTGTGTAAATCAAGGGTCCAAGGCCTGAGTCTCCCAAGTCGGCTAGGCTCTCACCTGTAAAACTCTCCTTCCTCCGGACCGCGCGCTTAGGCCTCTTGGGCCTCTGCTGGCTTTTCTTCTGCTGTCATTTCTCCCAACACCGCGACCCCGCGGCTGCCTGCCCTCGCCGGGACCAGTGCTCCTTTTCCCACCCCTCTCTGCTCCGCCCAGCACACAGGCCCGGCGGCCCGGCAGCGCCCGACGCTGCAGCCCTGCCCTCCGCCTGAGCGCAGTATTGTTGGGGGCGGGGTGAGCGGTATTCTTGCCAAGCTGCGCGGGGTCGGGGTCCTGGGGTTCGTAAAGCTGGGAGAAGCGCCCGAGCTTCCGCAGTCGGAGCGTGGAAGTAGCTGGGCCTGAAGACAGCGAGAGCCTCCCCGTGGGCTCGGTTCAGAGGTGAGGGTTCCCCGGGTGTTTGGTGAGTGCCTCTGAGTGGTTCCTTCCCGACGACTCCACCAGGCCGCAGGGAGGAGGGCTTTGTCGCCAACTTCAGGCGTCCTCGCGGAAAGGCGGGTTCGTACCTGGAGTCCAGAGAGTCAGGCAGTAGCCTCAGTGTCTCCTACCTCCTTGGGAGAGCCAGGGTTAGCTGTGACGGGCGGGGATCACAGTAGGCACGGAGGCTTTCGCTAAGACTCTACCCAGGCCCTCCCAACTCCAGATAAAAGGGAGCGTGAATGCGGGTCTGAGTAGTGGGCTAGACTTAAGGCGATGCCTCAGAGCTGATGCGGTTGGTTGGAGCGCTTGCAGCAGTAAAGACGTGGACGGTTAGCGATCAGGAGACCCAGCCTTCTTTCTTGAAGGTGCAGGAGGAAGGAAGCAGAGAATGATTGGTATTCTGAAGCAAAAGCTAGGGGAAGACAAGGTGTGTGGGGACGGAGCAGGGGGTTCAAGAAGAGGAGTTGGGGACCTGGGAGCCTGATGACTCAATGGACATAGCAACAAGGCCCCCCAAACGGAGTTGGGAGCCCCATGCCACTGGGGAGATATGGATTGAAAGGAAAGCCAGACTCTGATGGTGGGCATTCCAGGGTCAAGGAAGTATTGGAAATATTGGGGTGCTCTGGCAAGGAGACGCGAAGGCAGCACCAGTAAGAAGAGCAGGTTTGGGACTTCCCCAGACAGGCCTCTAACCCCACTCTTTTGCAGACCGTGCGTGTCCAGGGTAATGACATCTCGCACCGGCTTCGGCTCTCGGCCGTGCGACTGCAGGATGAGGGCGTATACGAGTGCCGCGTGTCAGACTACAGCGACGACGACACGCAGGAGCACAAGGCCCAGGCGCTGCTGCGCGTGCTCTCGCGCTTCGCACCGCCCAACATGCAGGCTGCTGAGGCCGTGTCCCATATCCAGAGCAGCGGCCCACGCCGCCACGGATCCCCCAGCGCCGCCAACACCAACAGCGCGGGCGCCACGGGCCGCACCACTTCTGAACCTGGCCGAGGCGACAAGAGCTCGCCACCCGGGAGTCCCCCTGCAATTCCTGGACCCGGAGTTCCAGAATCCGCTGCCGCCTCCGCAGCCCACACAGCCACCACTACCGTCGCATCTGCTGCCGCTTCTTCGTCAGCGTCGCCACCACTGGGCCAGTCTGTCCTTCTGCGCCAGAGGCATGGCTCCGGTAAGAAATCGCGTGGCGAGGAGACGCGCACACTGGAGGGGTGGGGCGTGAACGCCCCAGCCGGCTCAGTTGGAGTGGCCACCGCACCAGGATCATTTGCATGTGCGTACTGTGCCAAGCTAAGTTGCCCTGAGCTCAACTCTCTCCGCTGTTCTCTATCTCTATTGTTGGGCTTTTGGAGCTTTCACAATGTGTATTTATGAATCGGGGGCTGCCCCACCAGGATCAAGTCTGGAGTGTGGGGAGCCCTCTCGAATTTGGAGGACTGGGCCCAGAGAGTTACACTCCTGGAGAGGTGCGGGGGTCAATTTACTCAGTGAGCACTAAGCATAGAGAGGAGCATTTCTCAGGTGGGATATTAATACCCTGTTGCAGAGTGGGAGGAGTCAGTTAAAATTTAGGACCTGTTCCTTTTTATGCAGGTTGGATTGATTGGACAAACACACATTGTCTTAGTGTGGACCGGCCTGTGTAACCTCCATTCTCTTTGGCTAAGGGCAAGATGGGTGTAGGCATCTGCACCCTGCTAGAAATTTTGCCTCTTGTTCCCGTTGGGTGCTTGGTGTGGGGGAGAGTGTGTTAAGGATCAAGCTCTTCCTCATTATTAGGAAGAGGCCCAGAAGTTAAGGACTGCTTTCCTAGAGCTGAGAGACTGAAAAGGACAGGATTCAGAGAAGTGGGTGTTGGAGAACAGGACAGGAAAATGAACTGAAGGTCATGACAGGCAAGTCCAGGAAGGGCTGATTAGCAGTAGAGTGGGCAGAAAGGCCAAGTGCCCAGTGTGCTCCTTCCCCAAGGCACTCCCCACTCCCTCCCCCTACTCAAAGGTGGGCCTCAGAGATGGGCTTAACTCTGATTTTAAATAAGTCACTCCCTGTCTGAATTCTACCCTTCAGTCTTGTATGATGCTGAGAGCTTCTCTACTAGAATTAAAGCATTGGGAGGCTGGGACAGTCACATGTAAAAAACCTTCCAGGTGTGCTCCATGTAAAACACTTCCAGGTGTAATGGAGCACATGTCCCTACCATGGCAGTTCTCAAAGTGAGTTCCACTACTGCCAGCTAAGGATGAAGGTTCCTGGACCATGCTGCTGAATCCAAGGTGACAGGCCTCATATCACCATATTATTCTACCTCCTTGATTGATTGTTAAACCCTTGAACAGTTAGGAGCTGCTGGTCCATCTTACAAATAAATTCTGTTTCTTGCTTAGCTATTCCCACATGGGAGCTTCCACTGTGTCTCACGCTGTTGCCTGAATCTGGAGGCCCATCCCTCTTAGTTCCACAAAGAGACCCACAAGACTTTCCCCAGGCCATGGGGAAGGTGAGTCAGCTGGAACTTCTCCCAAAAGACTCCAAGTTCTCCTACCTGGCTTGGAACTTTCTACCCCTGTATTAATTTAAGATAACATTTGGTGCTGATATAAACCACAAAATGAAAGGGGCTTGATAAATTTCAAATATATTATTTCTTGTTCACATCAAGTCCTGCCCCCTGGAATGAGGAGAGGAGTATGATAGTTCTATTCCATGCAGTTACTCAGGGACCCATACTGACATAGACTTTACCATCTTCAGCAAGTGGTTCCCCAAGTCACTCAGGATTGACATGTGGCTAACAGATGAGGGGAGAGAAATGGAAGCAGCCCATCTCAAACCAGTTTGAAGGTAACGGAGCTCTAGGCTTTAAGTCACACTGTATGTAGTGAATCAACTTCTTTCCTAAGCTTTTAGAATTGCCCAAAGGATGTATCACTCTTGAGAAATCAAGAAAACAGCCACTCAAACCATTTTGTAGTGCTTAATTCTCTCAGAGAAAAGCTGATGTAGAAAATAGCAAGGTGGGTGTTTAAGGACCAGGCTTAGATGTAGTAAATAATACTTCTTCCTTATCCAATGACTATCACATGGTCCAGTGTAGATGTTGGAAAATGTAGTTGATGGCTTGGCAACTGCTTTTCAACCTCTTCTCTTCACAGGGGAAGGGAAACATGAATCTAGGGAAATTAACCATCTTTATGTTGTGCACATTACATGTTGGAAAAGTGTTTATTGACTTATACAGTGTTTTAACTGATACTGATTGGTAAAAAGACTCTTCTGCCCTATCATCTCAGGCCCAGCAAGTAAACATTTGTGTCACAGGCTGAAACCTCGGTAACCTCTGGGTTGTTCCCCAGACCATTAATACAGTAGCAAAGCAAAGGATTTGAAAGGCAAAAGCCTAGATTTGAGTTGTGCTTCTACCACTTCTTGACTGTATGACTTTAAGCAAGTGGTTTAACACCTCTGAGTCATCTATAAAAATGGAGAGGGTAATCCCTGACCACAGAAGAAGTTTGGTATGGACATTGCTGCAAAGATATGTTCATTATTATCACTATGGTCATTAGTTGCTCTGTAAGAGAGGAGAGGATAGAAGAAATAAACTAAGTACTTGGTAGTTGGAGGCCAAGCTAAAAAGGGCTTTAAAAGTCAAGTGGAATCAACAGGGTTGGTTGAAGGTTTGGGTCAAGGAAGTGCCAAATGAAAGAGATCTATGAGGGTGAACTCAGTCACACCCACAAGATGGGGAAGAGGTGAAGGTCATGAGCTCATTTCTATTAGAATCTCCATTTTCTCCTGGCCAGAGTCTGATGCTTGAGCCCAAGACCCATCTGACAGCCTGTCATAGCCATTCAGATCTCTAATATGTCCTGGCCACAGGGCCTGAATAAGGGAGTGGGAATGTTCCAGGGTCTTTCATCCCACAACAGAAAACACATCCGTGGAAGGTGGGATGGAGAGCTCCCTTCTTCCTAGAAGATATGGGGTCATTGCATCAGCTCAATTCTGATGGTTCAGTGCCCAGGGGTTGGGGCCTTGGGGATCTGCCAGCCACAGAACAATATAGTAATGCTTATGTAGGTCAGGGCAGCAGCCCAGGCTGAGGGCTTCTATCTGTTTTCTGAGGTCGGGTGCAGGGTTCACTGCCATCCAGAAAGTACAGCCAGCTGGGCTCCCAGCAGGACATTACCACTGGGATAAGTTATGGTGGCCCCTGAGATCTCTGTCACCTAATCAATAACCCTTTGAGGAGTCAGGTAGACATATCTCAGAAAGAACCCTGAGTTCCTCCTCAGCTCTTCTAGAAGGTGTATCTTCATCTTCAAGGTCAAAACAGTTGTATCCCTTACTCCTTGTGAAGTTCTAAGGATGTTGTTTTGCTATAGACACCTCTGTGTATCACCTGAGCATGGAAAAGTGAGTCATATGACCTGTAATCCACAAACACACCTGATCAGCCTTGATCCCAAGGAAAGAACTGTGCCAGTTTTGTTTTTATTGTTGTTGACGTTGTTGTTATTTGTTTGTGTGGTGCTGAAGATCCGAATCAGTGTTTCGCACATGCTAGGCAAGCACTCTACCACTGAGCTACAACCTCAGCCCTCATGCCAGTTTGTGTCCCATCTTGCCCCTGCCACCCAAAGCCACCTAGGCAATGGGCCTCCATGTGAATGAGAGTAAAAGCTGCAGACTAATTCTTTCTATTTTTATGATTGACTTTTTATTGCAGTAAGATACACAAACATGAAGTTTACCACTTTAGACCTTTGTAGATGTTCAGTTCATTGGCGGTGTGTCCATTCGTGGTGTGCAGCAGCCATCACCATAGTCCATCTCCAGAACCCTCTTCATCTTCCCCAACTGAATCTTCATACCCATTTAACAATAACTCACCATTCTCTTTCCTACTTCCAATCATGAGAACTGCTATTCTACCTTATGCGGGTATTAATAAACCTTCCCAAAGAACTGCCTCATTGAGCAGTGCCCTGAGCTTGACCACTGGTGCCAGGTCCTGCTGAGCCTCCCTGGGAGGTGGCCAGCCAGATGATGGCTCAGCAACATGAGCCAGAGAAGGAGCTCAAGGAGGGTGTCCCCAGGCCTGGCCTATCCAGCTCAAGTTCTCAGCAGCTTTGTGGGGAAGGGTCCAGAAAGGACTGTTAGCTCCTGGTTAGCAGGCAAGAGTGTTTGCAGAGTGTTTATCAGACAAATGCTGGCAGTAGCAGATGGCACATTCACAAAGTCACCAAGGGGAGTTGATAAGGAGTGTTTACAAAGTTGTGAATGGGATTCAGGACCCCCAACAGGGGATGTCTGCAGGTCCTTAAGGCTAACAGCAGTGGGGGTCATTAGCATCCCTAGGCTGAAAGAGCAGGGGAAAGGAGCACATAGCAGAAGTCAGGGAGGATAGCTAGATGGACAGGGCTGCCTGACAGGAGTCTGGCATCAGGGAAGGGATGCAGCCAACCCACAGTGACCCAGCAAGGACTTCACTCTCCTTCTGGCCTCCATTTTCCTCTGAGGGCCTCCAATTGACCAAACCCTCCTAGAAGCCAAGGACAAGGGCAGTAGGGTGAAACAGTCTATAGAGGTCGGCCCCAGAATGCATAAGGATGAGAGGAGGATTCGGGAGACCAAAAAGGTCCATCCCAGGCCCTGGTTGAATGGACACTGGCTGGTTCCCATTGGTGACTTTAGGAGTGTTCCCAGCCCACTTCTGTAGTCAGTCTCCATTAAGCAGTTACTTCCAGAAGGACAACAGAAAGAGGTCTCTATTTTGTTAAGTGAGCTACTTTGGTAATGCCAGGAAAAAGGAAGAAGGGACTCACTCAAATCTTCATCCTTTAGCTACTGCACAGTCAGGCAAGAAAACCCTCCCCGTGCCCATGTATGCCTAGCACAGCCAATACATATTTGCACTAAAAATTTATGTGCAAAACTCATTCATTTCACATCTCATTTGTCAGGAGACATTTTGGTATTTGTGCTTAAAAATAAACATGGACTGAATTAGAAAAGCAGAACAGGCATAGAAGGCTGGGCCCCTTCTTAGCCATGTTCATAAATCTGGCTCCTAATTAATCTGAACACTGGCCCATTTGTCATGAAAACTTCATTGCTGGTTGCCATTGAGAGAGAAAGAGACAGAGACAGAAAGAAACAAAACAAAGT